TGAGAAATGAGAACTACCCAGACTTCTGAAAAGCAATATGGAAGCTAGAAAGCAATGGAGTAAAATTATAAAACATTACAACTTTACATGTAGTATTCTTAACCTAACCAAATAATCAAACAAGTGTCAGGGTAAACTAAAACCATTTTTTTTTTTTTTTAAGATTGTAAAGAAATCTCTACATCCAACATGAGGCTCAAACTCACAACCCTGAGATCACGAGTTGCATGCTCTACAGACTGAGCCAGCCAGGCACCCCTTAGAATTTTTTCTTTTCCTTTTTTTTTTTTTTTTTTTTAAATAATCTCACCCCAACATGGGGCTCAAATTCATGATCCTGAGATCAAGTGTCACATGCTCTATGAATTGAACCAGCTAGGCACTCCTAAAACGATTTTAAAACATCAAGTAAATCAAGAATGAACATGACATGGATCACTGCAAAATGGAAAGCCAACCCCAGGAGAAAGTGAAGGGAATCCCACAATAATGATTGTGTACCAAGTCTAGAAGACACTCAGTCCAGAATGGAGGTCAGAGGGACATGAGACACTGCCTCAGGAAGATAAAATTGATAACAATACCTGGTATGTCTGAACATCTCAAGGGACAGTCAATGAAAAAGGTGAATTAGTGATAATTACAGCAAAAAATAAGCCACAGGGTGGGGCAGAGACACTGAACTTCAGCCAGAGAACCCTATGGTAAAGCTAACAGTCAACAAGTCACACAAGATAAGCTCTTTAGTCTAACGTGCAAGCAGATGACCAAGAATTACCAGACATCTGAGGAAAGGCTCTGTCCCATAAGGCAAAGCAAAAATGGGCATAAAGCCAATTCGGAGGAAACAGACGAAAACCTGGGGCGGGGGGGTGGGGACCTACTAACATTTCTATATGTTAAGTAATATATAGAAATATATATACTATACATTCTACATGTACTAGATAGCTTGGGTGTGGTGGAGGGAGGCAGGCAAGTGTGGTACATTGTACAGCACACGAAAAGTATTATTTTACAAGAATGCTGAAATCATAACCATTAAGAAGAAAGGGTGCCATGAGGTAAGGGAGATTAGTGGAGTAGCTGATAACAAAATTAAATCTTCATTTTTCTATCCAGGAAGTTAATAAAAGCAAAACAAAAGCAGAGAGTATTTTATTTAACACACACTATACTGGGCATGTGAGTTAGATACAGTTCTAAAGGCTTTCCCAAATTCATTTCCTATGACAACCCTATTGACATAGGTACCCCCACTTTTTTTTTACATGAGCAAAATGAGGCGTAGAGGGAGGTTAAGTAGCCCAATGTTACATAAAACAGTTGACAGAGAAGATTCAAACCTACAGTCGAATTCCAGAGTCCATGCTCCTACCCATCAAAGCCATGTTGCATATCCCATAACAATACAAGCATGTTGTTTACAAACTAAGAGGTAAACAGGACAAGGATTACTAAAAGAGGTAAGTGACTGCTTTTGGGAAAGGAAAAAATGGAAAAGGAAGGGGACAGGAAGCTTTTGTTTGTTTTGATAATCATGTAAACTTTTTTACTCTTTAAACTGTGCAGGTACAACCTAAATAAAAAAGTAAAGCCTGTAGCTTAGTATTCTATAGTTAAAACATTTTATCTAATGCTACCATCCTCAGTAGGCAAAAAATGAGTACTACTCCTATTTCATAGATAAGACTTTCCTTCCTCTTCAACAAAATTTGAGGGCCCACTACATAACAGGCATTTGTATTCAGAAGACAGGTATCAATTCACCTCAAATAATGATGAGGTGAAATAAGTGCAAAAAAGCAAGCGTCTTTATTCTTTTCAATTTATTGCATATGCTGTATGACCCTGAATCTCTAATAGCTGTGCTTAAGATGAGAAACAATATAAATTTTAAATAGTGACAGAAAAAAAAAAAAAGAGAGAGAAAGGTCACCTCGTTAATTTGTTCAAAAAATATTTAGTTCTTGCCCTTAAGGAGCTCAGAGTCTTGTGAGGAAGACAGGTAAACATAATTATAATTGAATGAGTGCAGTGTGTTAAATAGAGGAATACCAAAAAGTGCTAAAGAAACAACATGTTCTGGGTAAAGGGAATGCTTTAGAGGTAACATCTGAGCTGAGTCTTAACAGGATGAATAGAAGTATGACCAGTTTTACATAAAAGGCTGTACTAATAGTTGGAAAACACAGAAGACCACAGATCAGGGTGAAATGCCTATATTTTCCCTGTTTTATAAAGGTAAGTTCATGTAAAAGGATAAAATAAGACATTAATACCTTTTCAATGAGAGTGAATTTTAAAAAACAAGATACATTATTATCTTAATGCCTGACCCATGTTTCTAATTTATGGTCTTGCCCAATGATCAACTGAAAGCATGTTCCACATACCTAATAAACATTTTAAGTTTTAAAGCGTTGAGTATTATTTCAAAAGAAACCTAAAGAATAACCATCTTTCATTTGCCTCACCACCAAAAAAAGTTTCATTGCTAACATGGTTTCTAAGTCATAATATTGAAATTATAATGTACCGCCCCCCCCCTTCTACCTCTTGAAGAGAGAAATTGGTGAGCAAACCTCAGAAGATGCAAGTGACACAGATGCTACCATGGGAAGAAAGGTAAAAAATTTTTTTTATAATCATTATCACTTTTTTCTCTCGTAGATATTCTCAAACTCCCTTCCAAGGGCAAGTTTAAATGAAACTTTTTTCTAAACTTTGGGGATAAAAGAAATAATTTGCAGTGAAACACCATGAAAAAAATAATATACATGTTTCCCCTTATTGACTTTTACAGGTATTTTAGGGGTGACACATTTTGATTTTTCAGCATTTAAAGGATACCTATGAAACAAAACTTTCCTGGTTTTGATGACTTTGATGCTAACTAACAAAGGTTCAAATATGTAGTAAATTCAAAACAGGTAGAGTCAACTCAAGTTACTTCACACCAATATTCAATCATACTTCTTGTTCCTTTATTTCCAAATCTTTCTACATAATTCACCCCTAATTAATCTTCCTCTCAGTTACCGTATGGAAAAATTAATTTTGTCCTAAATACCTTAAACTGCCCTCTATCCCTACAATTAAAAACCTACTTCTAAGTGGCAACATCTGACTTTAATTGTCTGGAAAAGCAAGTTGTGGAAAGCTCTATCATGCCCTACCACCAGGGGAAGAAAAGGAGAAAGTCAACCAGGAGACCACAAATGGTAATTAACAAAAATCATGGCAGGTTTCAATTCAAAATGTGTGGTTTTCATTTGTGTATTTCATCTGTCTTTTATCTTGCTGGATTCAGTATCCACATAATACCTGATTTTCAGGGGCTTCACTCAATCACACACTCTAGATTTAGAAAACATTAATATTTGGGGTAAATAATTATTTAAAATTATAGTGAATATTAGAAATTACAGGTGTGAATATTGACCTATGAAACAGAGTTTTATCAGTAATTATATTAGGACTCTTAAGGAAACCACATCCTAGAAGAGGTCCTCTTAAGTAAACTTTGTATACGTGATACGGAATTCATTTGGTTAGGTAACAAGGTTTTAATTATATGACTCCTGAAAAAATTATAATTTAAAATCTTGTCTTTCAGGATTTTTATATCAATTAACCATACTTTTAACTAACATCTCTTAAGTAATTAAAAAAAATATATGTATCGTGAAAACCTCACTGGAACGTTTGGCCTTTGTTCTCTTTTTCTAAAAACTGCAATTCTTTTGGAATACTCTCAATTTTTCCAAAGTGAAAACCACAAAGACATTTAGTATATAAATTTCCAATTGGTTTGATGAAAGTTCCATCACAAAAATCTCCAACTAATACTAAAATAATTAAATGTCTTTAGAGCTTATTCCGAGTTGCATGGCTAAAATAAATAGCCTTGGTCATTAACTCCCTATGATACTATTTTGATCAAGGTTAGTCACAGACCGGCAAATCTGTGACAAGAACATTCCTTTAAAAATCAACTTTGTTTAAAGCCATGTAGAATCATTAGAGATTTCACAACTTTCTAATCAGTCAGCTTAAAGGACACAATTTGATTCAGTGGCATGGTTAGAGCATTATTTCCAATTCAATCATGAAAACACTGGCTTAATAGTGGTTTTTTTTTTTTTTTTTTTGGCCTTATGTATTTTTTTGGCAAAGAAGGGAACAGGTGGAATAGATTAACAGGAGAACAAAGTCTTATTTCCATGCCCCTATAAATCCAACCCTTCAAGACTTTCCTTATTCTTTAAAATGGCTACCACCTTGATCCACTATACAAAAGGGAAAATAAAATGTACAGACTACCACTATCAAAGATAAATCTGGTTATTTTGACGGTGTAAGCCCCGCCCCTCCCCCATGACATACTTTCTAGGATTCCCATTCCTCTTCGGTTCAGATAAAATGACCATTAAATAAGTGTACAAAAGTTGGTCAATTACAGTATAAGGGTAACCTATATAACCCAGACTAGGTCATCTTTCCTATAATGTCTGACTAGGGAAAGCAGGTAACATCATCTTTTGCAGACTAAGATCAAACACAGTAGAAGTGAAAAGGAGAAACATTCGTGGGAACCACAGCACCCCCCCCCTCCAGCCCCCAGAGATGATCATAAGGATTTTAGTAATTCAAAGGAATGGATGAACTATTATATAGGTTAGCAAAAATCTTCTGTAAGAAATCCCTTTAAAAAGCGTAAGTAACAAAAAAAACAACTGGTGCCCTCAGACCTATACTTAATAATACTCAATAACTATTGTCAAATAGTTTGCATACTTACACCCACCTGCTATCTCCACTCTGAAACCATTCCATGACACTCTTGCTCTAGGAAACTTACCACGAAAACGATTTTCACACACAAAAATGAAAAAAGAGGTAATGCTCTCGACAAATGTTGTGCATGTACAAAGCTACTCAATAGATTCACTACTCTGAATCTGCTGAATGTCTGCAGAAACACGGCATAATCTTACCTCTCATCCTCGCCATCCACCAGGGGTGTCGTCAGCGGTAGCACCTTCAACGGGAAAAGAGAAGCAGAGGCTGCTAGGCTGCTGCTACTCCCATCTGAAACTGCTGACATTCCCCCACTGTCACCACTGATAGTCTGAGGTAAGCCAACTAAGGAGGGTTCCGCTGGGCGCCTGGCATCTTCAATTTGGCTTCCAATTGCCTGAGCTAATGATTGTGCAGAGAACTGAGTAGAACTTAGTGGGATCTGTTGTGCCAGAGGCAGATTTATATTAGTTGCTATCAAGGGAGGTTGACTAACACTCTGAACCAAATTACCATTTTGAGTGGCAGGGGTTTGTGCTATATTCTGTGGTGGAACCAAGTTTGTTGGGGCAGAAGGCATTCCAGAAGGACCAGCTGAACTAACCTGATTTGTAACAGAAATACTACTAGCAGAGGGCAAAGGACTAACTGCAGGCAACTGCTGCGAAACTTGAGCTACTGATTCTACTCCTTGCGGCTGGGGAGGCACAGTTAACAAGGTACTTTGGGGTGCAAGGACCAATTGTTGAGGAAGGCTCGAAGCACTAGTTTGAACTCCCTGATGAATAATCGCGGTCTGAGCAGGTGAAACTATCTGTGAAGACGGAGGAGCACCTTGCTGAATAACTGAAGGTGTGACTTGGGTAGAGGGCTGCTGCACTGCAGTAGCTATGTTTGCCTGTTGACCAATATTTGCGATTTGACCGCCAGTAGGTACCACAGATCCTGCCGTCTGAGCCTGGCCAACAGGCTGGCCAGAGGCCCCTGCAGGTTGTGCTTGGATCGCGGTGGGCTGCACTGGCAGCTGGATACTCTGTGGCTGGGCCGTAGGAATCACGGTCGTTCCTGCTCCCACGGCCGCAGCACTGGGCTGTCCCGAGGACACCGCTGTTTGGAGCATCGGTGGCGGCGGCGGCGGCTGCTGCTGCTGCACATACTCTGAAGTAGGATTCTGAGTCACCGGTTTACCATGGCCTGGGACCATCTGTGCAGATACAGTCGTTTGCTGTTGTCCGTACTGTAACTGTTGGGGTGGTGCCCCTGGAAGGGGAGCTTGCACTGGAGGAGCCGGCTGAGAATATGGCAGTTGGGGTTGAGCCAAACTGGAAATGGAAGGCTGCTGACCTAAAGCTGAAGTTACACCAACCACATTCACAGGTGATGGCTGGATACCTGTCGCGGTACTGAGAGTGGCTTGCAGAGGGACCGGCTGAAGACCTGGCTTTTGATAGCTCAGTTCTTGCGACTGCAACTGTACTTGTGTGATCTGTGACTGAGAAATACTCTGTGGTATACTGACTGCTGAAATACTCTGAGGACCAGAGCTACTGAAATCCATCTGTTGAAGAGCCATACCTTGAAGAGTTGGCGGGCGGCTGCTGCTGCTGCTGCTGCTGCTGCTGCTGCACCACCACAGTAGGGGCTCCCATCTCTCCACTTCCCACACTCTCTGTGTAGTGACTCAGTGTGCTGACACTACTGCTCACTGAACTCCCACTAGTGCTCTCCCTCTCAGAAGTCACTTCTGGGTTTTGTTTTACAGTTTCCACCACTTTATTCATCGCCACACCTTCTGCAGCAGGTGCGGCGTTTTCTTTCTCATAGAACTCGGTGCAGGTCCATCTACCTTTCTTAAAAGGTTCAGAACTAGAATCTAACTTCACAACTCTGAACCTCGACGTGTTAACTGTCGGTGGCTGCTGCTGACTGGAACCTGATCCCACAGTCATCCCTGCAGCTGCATTAGGGGCGCTGTTAACAACAGCGGAGGAAGAAACAGAAGAACCATTGCCCATGCCACTCAAGATATTCACATTCACACCGCTGCCAACTCCAGGCCCGACACTCGCACTAGCAGCACTAGGAATATTGCTGGCATTTATACTGGCATTACTAAGCATGCTGCCCGTCACGCTAGGATTGAAAGTACCCACAGCAGTGATGTTAACATTATTCACCGTAGTGGTGCCAGTAGCAGAACTTATACCTATACTGCCGGTAGTACTTGGAGCTCGGATGTTAGTCATTACGGATGCAGGCGAGCCTCCCGATGATACAGCAGAAGTCGGTGCAGCTGGTGCAACGCTGTCGGAGCTTCCAGGGGCAGAGAGTTTTCTGGACCCCGGACTTGAGGGAGGCCCTCCGGGGATGGGTGGACTGGCCACGCCGGCATGGGATGGATGGTGGTGCCCGTGGTGGAGGTGGTGCCCGTGATGAACGTGGTGGTGGTGGTGATGGAGGTGGTGAGGATGAGCGTTCCCATTGATCACAACGTTCTGCGGGGGAAGGTGAGGCAGATGCGGCTGCGGGAGGTGGGGCTGGTTGGGAGACACTGCCCCAGGTGTCTCGGCTTCCTGGAAGTTATTGAGAGTCTCTTCCGAGGAGCTGCGCTCAGGCTCCCCCAAGTCGGTGGCCCTGGAAAGCGACACATCGAGGATCTCGGAGGACGACAGATCCTCCGTGTGGGACTCGTCCAGGTCGTCGTAGCTCTCCGTGTCCTCGGCGATGCTGTTGTTGGAGCTGATGCTGGCGGAGATCTGGGCCGGGGTGACGCTGGTTATCTGGAAGCCACTTTTCTTTTTCATCTGAGTTCCGCCCGGCGCGAGGGGCTGAGCCTGCAGCTGAGCCTGCGAGAGGAGGTTCAGGCTTTGTGGAGGCGGCGGCGGCGGCTGCGGCTGCGGCTGCGGCGGAGGCGGAAGATCCTCGGAAGATGTGACACTACTACCGACGCCGGTACCTGCCGCGCTGAGCGCAGGGGCGCCGCCGCCGCCGCCGCCGCCGCCGCCGCCGCGCCGCCGCCGCTGCCCCTTCGAGGGAACATCGCCGGCTGCGCCATCTTCCTAGCGCCAATGTCTGCAGCGGCCGCGGCCGCCGCGGCGGTGGACTCGGGCGGCTGGTGCATTGTGTCGGGGGCCGGGGGGGCGGAGGAGGCGAGTGCAATTTCCTTCTTCTGCACCGTAATCTTTGTATTCGAGACGCCGGGGAGGAAAACGGGACCTGACGCTCCGCCCGGCGCGGGTCCGGGTCCTCCGGGTCCTCCGGGTCCTCCGGGTCCTCCGGGTCCTCCTCCTCCTCCTCCTCCTCAGCAGAAGGCGCCGGCCGCTCCGGCCTTCGAGGGCGAGCTTCGGGGAGGGAGGATGAACGAGGGTGAACAGGGCGGCCCGAGAGGTGGGGGGACCCCTTCAGCCCTCCGCCATTCACTTTCCCCTCTGGCCTCACACCCCCCTTTCTAGTCCGCCTTCACGTGGGGTGCGGGGCAGGAGGGCGGGGGCGGGGGCGGGGGAGGGTGGGGGCGGGGTGGGGTGGGGGACGAGGGGGAGGAGGAGGTGGGGAAGCCGACAAATGCCCACCTTCTCCGGCCGACTCGGGGGCACCGCGGCCCCAGCGGCGGCGGCCGCTGCAAGAGCCTCCCGGGCGCCGTGCACCGGCCGAGGCGGCGCGGAGCGGGGGCCGCCGTCCCCTCGCCGCCCCCGAGCCCCGAGCTCAGGGTCGCTCAAGCCTGTCCCCTCCCGGCCCCGCCGGCCCCGCCGGCCCCGCCGGCCCCGCTCGGCCCTCCCCGCCCGCGCCCCGCGGACCCTCTCAAACCCCCTGGGCTCGCGGCGGCTGTTCCGTGAGCAGACGCTGGCCGCGGCCGGGGCCGGGGCCGGGGCCGGGGCCGGGGCCGGGGCCGGGGCGGCGAGGCTCGGAGCGGGGCGGCGGGGCGCCCGGTACGGTGAGCCCAGCAACGGGGCGCGGGCGGGCGCGCAGGGACGCCGGGTCCTCGCGGAGCACGGCCGGGGCGCGGCGGCGGCGGCGGCGGCGGCGGGAGCGCAGGGACCGCTCCATCACTGGCAGCCATGGAGCCCGAGCATTTTCCTCCCTCGGGGCAGGCGCCTCGGCTCGGCACGCGTCCTCGGGGAGGAAGGGGCCGGCGCCCGGGCCTCCCCGGGGGGCGGCGGCGGGCTGCGAGCCGCTCCGCTCCTCGCCCTCGCCCTCGCCCTCGCCCTCGCCCTCGCCCTCGTCCTCGTCCTCGCGGGCGGCTCCTTCCTCGGCGGCGCTGGGGGCCAGACGGGCTGGTGCAAGCGGCTGCAGCCGACGCCGTTCAAAGGAGCGGGAGGTGGGGCTGGCCGGTGTCGGCGAGTGGGTGGGTGCGGAGGGCGGGCGGGCGGGCGGGCGGGGAGGGGGCCGGGGTGGTTGTTACTAGTGCTCTGCTCCGGCTCCGCCGCGTCCCCCAGTCTCTCGCGGCAGCGGGAGAGGAGGGACCAGCGCCCGAGCGCAGGAGGAGGAGGAGGAGGAGGAGGAGGAGGAGGAGGCGGCGGCGGCGGCGGCGGCAGGGGGGAGGGGGAGGGGGCAGGCACAGGAGCCGGAGGAAGATGGCGTCTGCGCATGCGCCCCGGCGCCGCAGACATAAAGCCGGGTCCGGCGGAGGAGGCGGCGGCGGGGCTTCGGGCCTCGCCGAGCGCCGGAAATTGCCGAAGGCTGGCGGAGGCGCCGAGGCCGCGGAGAGAGGGGAGGGGAGGGGAGGGGAGGGGAGGGGCGCTTCGGGCGGAGGAGCGGATCCGGGTCGGGCTGCGCGGCTCGGCCCGAGTGGGGGCGGGGCACGGGGCGCGCGCGCGCAGGTTAGGTGTGTCCGCTCTGTTCTCGCTCGCGGCCGGTGCGCGTGCGCGGGCGCGGGCGCGGGCGGGCGCGCGGCAGGGGAGGGGGCGCGGCGGGGCGCGGCGGGGCGGGGCCCGGGAGTGCGCGCCCCGGGGAGGGGGTGGGTGTCCGCGCCCCCCCCCCCCGCCCTTGCCCGCCCGCGGAATGGGTAATGAGGCTTTTCTCCGCAGCAACAGCATCACGAGTTGCAGTTCCCAGGAGCCCGCCGCCACCGCCACGACACGACATGAGTCAGGCTTTCTTCCCAGGCGCGTGGCGGAGCCCTCCTCCTCCCACCACCACCCCCCCCTCCCTCCCCCCCGCTGCACCTGGGCGCGCCCCCGGCCCCCTGCAGGCGGAGCTCGCCCACCCCCCGCCCCCCCGCCCCCGCGCTCCTGCGCCCCGAGCTCCGCGGACCGCGCCAGGCCCGAGCGCCTCCTAGGTAGGTGCTGCCTTTTGTGCAGTGCGGTGGTGACTGCCATGCGGTCCCCTCGCCCTTCGACGGGCCGGGGTGCGCCAGCCCCGGCAGCTGTTGCAGCTGCTGCAGCTGCTTGCTCTTAGCTGCCGGGGTTCCTCCCGGGCAGGCTGCGGTCTGGAGAGGGCGTGCTTGCCTGCAGTCCATCCCTACCCATCCCTACCTGGAGGGAAGCCGCAGCCTCTAGCCCTTGTAAACTAATTGACCTCAACAGGTGGAGCTGGTCTCCAGCTCGCAGGCCTTTTCGTCTAGGCTATAGCCCCCACCCCACCGACCCACCTCACCCACCCTGTGGGTTGGACTTACAAGACCAAAGTCCTGGTGGCCACACAGGTGCAGTGATCAATGAAGACCACCTTTTGCAGGTGAAAAAGAAAAAGCCATCTGCAATTCCAGTTTGAAACAAAACAAAAAAACAAACAAACAAACAAAAAACCTGCACGGTCTGAACACAGTTCTGCAGAAGCAACGTTAGATCTGATTGGAGGCAGTTTACTGGAAGTTGCTTCCCTAGCACTACCCGTCGAAACATTCCAGCTCTAAGCTAGAATGTGCTACTAAGCGGGAATGTGCTCCTCGCCCAGGAATTAAACAACAACAAACTGGTAGGGGAAAATCCTAGAGAGAATTAATTAATTAATTAATTAATAATTAATTAATTATCTATTTATCTGTTTGTTTGTTTAGGTTGTTACAGGACTAAACTTTTATGGTTAGACCTCTAATTTAGGAAATCTCACAGCTGTGTGGGGTAATAATCCGACTTCAGGAGCTTGTTTGAGCCTAAAGAGCTGTAGTCTCTTGCACAGTTTGATAGACATCTAGTTGTCCATTCGGCACGTTAGCTTTAGGTTTCTCTACATTTTCTTCATTCCATTCCACAGAGTCACCATTCTCTTGTACCACTGAATAAAAGTGCACCCTCAACACCCTGTGTATATCCTTCGTCAAAGTTATAATATATTGTTGCTTTTTCTGTGGTCTCCCCCACTGAACCCAAACGCAGGAATACATTTTTTTTTTTTTACTTTAAATTGCTAATGTGGAGCTCCGTGCTAGGTACAAAGTAGGTGACCACAAATATTGAAAATGGTGTGATAATAAAAATGAAATACGTTTGAAGAAATGGCACTTGTGGTATGATATTAATGAATGTATTTCTACACACCCATGGCCATTCGTGTATTTTACAAAAATATATTTTTTTAATATCCGACAATTTTTATTGCAGGTGAAACTGGTGGTTAATGGTGGCCATCCATGGTTGAAATGCAAATCTGACATACTATTTAATAGTTTGTGAGTGGAAAATAGAAACTATCCTAGCCATTTGAACCTGCAATGGGATGTAGATAGACAAAATATGTTTCTTTGGACTCCTATGAAAGAAAATGTTCTTGATCTCTCAAAATGTTGTGTTAGGTCCAAGTTTTAAATTACCCCAAACAAAAATGAATAACCCCAAACAACAACAGCTCAACACACACACACACACACACACACACACACACCCTTGGACCCTAAATACCCTCTATGATTGTACTGATAGGATTAGAAGCAGATGAAACTTACAATAAAGTCTTATCCAAAGTTGACAATAAGTTGAGACAGCCCTACGAAAGCAGATACTCGTTCTGATAACCAGTAGTAGTAAAGGATATTGTTTGGGGCTGGTTTGTTGGGGGTAGGGAGGTTGGTAGTATTATTTCTTTTAAAAGGAAGTTCAAAAAAAGAAAAAACTTCCAGGAGAATGTAAGTCATAGGAAAATATGGCCTTTTCAAACGTATTTCATTTTTGTCTGTCATATCACTTCCAAATTCCTGTTTAGGCTGCATCAAGCCCCACTAAGATACAAGGATCAACCCTGCGATTATGGAAACCTGAGTTTTAGAAACCTCTCTGGATCTCTCGGTTGCCAGCATTTCTGTGGCCATTTTAAGTACATTAAAACAAGCAGAAGCACTTGAACAGCCAGGTGCCTGCCGTTCTGTTACCGCCTTTTAATTTTAAAAGTCTGGATTTTTTTACATTAATATGAAATGCTGAGTGCTATATGTAATGAAGTCATTAAATCCTTTGAACTTAGTACTTAGAGTTCTCCTTTGCCTTTTGAAAGACTGAATTTCCCGTTTACATTCTGAAGGTGTAGCTCTGAATTACTCTCTGTTGACTGTAGTGCAGTGTTCACTTAAATCTAGTTACTGCGACTTTGAAAACAAACGTGTCTTTGGCTGTGTTTAGTGTTTTTTTTCCTGCCATGAAATAGAAAATTTGCTGAACATTATGACACAACTTACCTAATTGTGAGAACCGTGAAATGGGTCGGTCTTTAAAACCAAGTGATTCTCCAAAAGTAATGCCTCCAAAGGGCAGGAGGAGAATACTGAACACTCAGAACAGCGATGAGTGGCAAAGACAGGTATTAAGGAAAAACGTGTACAGAAAAGATGCCTAGTAATTCTAGCTAACCAATGCTTCAGTCATCAATATTACTTATCTGTAACTTTAAATACCATCTGAAAAAAAGGTCACACATTTTTACAAATGCAGAAACTTATGCCTAGGGATATTACAGCATGTTTATGAATCAATTCGCTCTCTAGAAAATTTTTTAAATGAGACCAGAAGTAGTGTATGCTATTTGACTTTTGTAAATAGCACAAAATGCTTATTTTGAAATTTCTCATTCAAATTTCAATAAGTGCAGTTTAGCTTTTAATTAATTTTTGCAGCATTTAATTTTTTAATACAAGTATGTTTCTGATCAGTGACACAATTTTATATCCTCAAAGGAGATATTCTTATAAAACAATAGAAGTTTGAATTCAGAAATTTTAATTTATGGTTCAGAGGGCACACTGATACACAATTCTACCCTTTGAAGGAAAAGACATTCTCATT